CGGTTGATAGAGATTGAGCCGGGCGACCCCCGAATAAGTGGCGTATGATTGTGGTGCTTAGATCATCAGTACCAAAACACACGAATTATCGGTTTATGTGTTACTTTTACCCTCCCCTGCTTGCCATCCCCATTACCAAAAAATGAATGTCGTGGTTAATGTCGCACCCAATTACACCGTTTTGCGCCCGCATGTTTTATTTATGATTTTTGTAACGGTAAAACTAAAATTCAATTCTTCCGTATGTAAAAAGTAGTTAAAATAATAGCCAGGTTAGATTCTGTAGACATAGATCTTAGCCACGATAGTTTTACGGTGATGTGCTAGTACAATGGGTGCCGGCGGAACTCCTTTAGATTATAGTGAGATGTAAGTGAATAGTAATATATAACGGCCAGGAAGTATAGTTTGGGAAGTTGGCACGGGATGGCGTATTCCTGGGTTGGATACTGGAGAATCTTCACGGATTTCAGGGTTCGAGATGATTTTGAGGCTCCTAGAAGACCATAATGGCATAAGAGGGGTACAGTAGCCATATAAAAGAAGTGAAAATCTCATAGGATATTACGAGGGTTGTATTATTATGCTTACGGAGCGATTGATTTTTTGTGCCGCTACACAGCTTTTAGTGTGCCTTTTGAGGTTCTTCCCGATCCCCTGGTTGCCCCCGTGATCCCAATGTTCAATCTGGTCAAAATACAATAACTGTACCACATAGCTTAATCTGCAACCCGACAACCAGACCCCCATTATCCTAATTTCAACCCTCATTCTTAACCCAACCTCGATATAATCTGCGAGCTTCCGTCGTTCATTGACGGCTTGGCCTATCTCTCTATTTACTCTTGGCTTCTGCAACTGCGATCCTGCGACCTGTTTCTCACAAAAGCGACCTTGCTAAATAGCTTCCCGCGGCCACGATATGGCCTCCCCACTCACCCATGACCCTCGGCCTAGCTTCCAACCTAAGATCGTTTCCCTGTACGAAAACCTCTTTAAGGTAGCGGTCGCCGTATCACTATCCCGAGCTGAGCGATGCTAAGAACACATTTTAGGATGAGGACGATGAACAGGAAAAGTCAGAGGGGTTCTGGACAGAGTTCTTCCTACTAAAGTGTCACCCACCCAGTTTAACAGCCATACTCGACCCTATATCCCCGGATGACTTGTTACACATGCAGGTGAGCAAACGGGAACCCCATTCTTGCGGCGAGCGAGGACGCAAGGCTGATCGGTGTTATTATAGCCCCAAACAAGGCAATTATTCTCACATGCCGTCAATTGCGTCAAGTCCGGCGGCAGCCCCTCAGATGAGATTGCTCTAGATGTGGGGGTCCTTGTTTTATTCTTTCGCCAGCAAGATGAAGGAAGGACTGATATTAATGCGTGCGGCGTTTAGACATTGAATGTGTTCTTACGAGCGGTCTTGGCTAAGCGATACACCAACCTCAGCTCAGACATCATTTCTATCCTGACAGGATTGAATAAAGTGGACTGGGTGTTTACGGACTTTGTTACGTCGCTGGACACCCATATCAAGAATGGCCGGACTGGTATGTTGTGTCTTTAGAATTTGGGGGTTATGGTGAAATGGTCTAACGGACGGCTGGATACAGTCGAGCTACGGAGGAAAGCCATCCAAGTGGCATTGTGCATAGCCTGGGGAGCCTTTCAGACTGGCTTGCTTTCTTATTTTACACATAGAGACCTATTCCCTGCGCTTATGAAGGTATGCTGTCCCCGGGTTTCCCTTTTCTTTTTTGCGTCCGAAATGATTGACCTAGCGGTTTTAATACATGTAGTACACTAACGACCCCGAGACTGCCGGTCTTGCATACGAGCCATTCCTATTGCTTGCCACACTTGCAAACTGTATGTTCTACTTCCGCATGTGACACAATGTATTATTCATGCTAATTATCAAAGATAATAAATTTGAATTCCAGAATCCGTACCAGATGAGGTTGGATGATTTTGTCAACGAACCCACTATCAAGAGGATCGTTCAGGAGATAGGATTCTCCTCAGTTCGGTGTCGGGCCGATTACATAGCTATTCAGGACGACCTACCTGAGGGATGGTCTCTGAATAATGTCCTCTCCTATGTTGGGCTCACCATGCTATCTGGGGCTGGCCCCAGGAGTCGCCCGACCTCACCCGCACCAACCCCTACCGCAGATCCGAAGTTGTCCTTCAATGATTTGTAAGTGCTCCGATTGCACATTAATCAAGTGCGTACATCGTGCTTATACCCCGGGTCTTATCACAGACCAGGACCAAACGCTGCAATCCTATTGGCAACATATGACTTTGTCAACGCTAACAAGCTATTCTGCCACAACTTCGTGAACTACCAAGACTCTGACCCGAAAGGTCTGTGAACACCTGCGCCCAACCTATCATCCGTCAACTAACGATTCCCGGCATCATACAGTCGAGTCCCCCATATGTTCTTACATATCACTAACATCTTACCTCCTGCATCACGCCCATCGCTCCTCCCGATCATCCTTATATGCCCGGTTAAACCTTCTAGTTCTGCGCATCCTCCTGGAAGACCAGTCTCTCTGCAAACGCTTAACAAGCGACGAGACAAAGTCGTTCGTAAGACTATGCAGGCAGAAACCCCCGCACTTACCTGTCGTTCGCTTGAAGCGGCCGCTTCTAACAGCTGTCATTGACGCAGTCGTTGACGGCATCAACCATAACTTGAGAAAACGTCTGGACGTGGAATTATACAGGTACGCAAACAAAAACCAAACTAGACTAAGACCTCCGGAAAGCGAGGCGTGCGAAATAATCATTACCGGAATAACCAAGCTAATTGTGAACCCCCCCCCAAAATAGCACAAGTATCGGCATACTCTCCCGATCAATATCTTTTTTGATCCGCAATAGGACCCGGCTTGGTGCCCTCCCTTTCATATTATCCACTTATACTTTTCTTTGGCTAATATTGAAAAAATAGCCTACCACTGGACAGATCTCTGGCGCTCCATTATCTCCCTAATCCGCTTCCTAACAAGTTACTCTTCCGATCTCAAAGACCTTCCCGAGCTCCCACCCTTCCTAGATGACCTTGTAAACCTAATCGCCCTGGCGCTCTCTGCCGGTGACGCATTCCTTCCCAATGCAGCCGAATACGACGACTTATTCTACAAGCTCGTGGAAGCTGGCGACACGCTCGCTAAATTCCGTGATTCCTGTAACCCCCCCCCCCTCTCTCACAGCGCGTGGCTAATAAAGTAGATGACCTAACCCCCCGCCCCCAAAACTCCATCTCAACACTCATCACCGTGTCAGAGCACTACTACGCCCTCATATCGGAGAACCAGAGTAGGACCAAATCGAAGAACCTATCACCGCAACAAGTCGGAGAAGTCATAAAGAGCGGGTACGAAACGCTATCCATCACGAGTAAAGACGGACTCGACGCATGGGAGAGGTATAGAGAAGCGGATGAGAGGGCCTTTCTGAAGAGGGCCGCTAGAGTAGCGGTCGGAGATGTTAGAACTGTCATGAGGGAATAAGAATAAATAATCAGTTAACTATCACAATGGCGGGGAGTGGCAGGAGTTTTTTTGTTTTTGGTATGATAGGACACTTTTTGTCTTTTCGATGGTTATTTTATATTATGGGGGGTGAGAGAGTGTTTTTGTTTGGTTGCTTGGTGGGTTGGCGGATAGATTATGAGCACAGTACGAGTACCGTACATACAGGGAATGGGAGCACTGGTAGCTGTGTGTATGTATTTCTTGTGAATATCTTTTTAAGGAGAAGCAAAGGAAGGAAGCAAGGACAACAGGATGAGCAAGTGGCCTGCCTACATTGATACCTTTCAGAGGGCAACGGTATGATTGGGAGTGAAATGGTGAGTGTGTGGTAAGGGGAAAGGTGTAAAAAGAGCGAGAGGAAAGTAGGGCAGGCTGTATACCGGTACAAGATACAGGAACATCGCAGCTCCCATGCCCGCCCTCCCCGCCAGAAGAAAAGAAAAGGAAAACTCCCAGACACAACACATCTTTTCCTCTATCTCTCTCAAATCCCCCCAAAACGCTATAAAAAAGGCAAAATAAAAAAGAAACACCAAGAAAGCAGACCCTATCACTCTTTTTGCTGCCCCTTTTCTCCTCCCAATATCAAACT